CATTACTATTTCACTTATCCATCAGGCAAAGCTTTAACTGTAATAACTTATATAAGTCTCTTTTTTTTAGGGCTGAATACAGCCCGATGAAGTTCACTGACCTTAGGTGATGAGAGAACGAAGGATACTGAGGGCGGTGCCCTGCCGCTCCTCACCGCGTAGGCCTACAGTTTCCAATCTTTAATTTTTACTTTTATTTCTTACATTTCTCACATGAACACTTTCCTGTATATTGGAACCTCATATCTTATAAACACATATTTTAATCCTAAATTACACACTAAGGTAAGGTTCTGGTTTGCTAGTTCGTGGGTAAATTCATTGGGTTATAATATCAACGCGGCACACTCGAGGCGGGCCCAAAGGACACGACCTTGAAACAAAAGCCGAGTGTTCATGCCGTGGGTGTATCCATTTCACTTAAAACTGTAATTAGGGATCCTCCTCTCAAACATTGCACTATTTGAACACAGACATAAGATTCTCTGATCACTGCACATGTCGTGGGTACACGTCACCCGAGGAGATGAGGTGTATTAAGTTCACACCGATGCATACAAGATATTTCCTTTCACGTATGGCTTCTGGATCACTCCCCACACCTCACATAGTTCTGATACATTTATCCCTTTTCCAGATCAATGTTCTCATGTATTTTCATATGATATCTGCGGAAGTTATGTTCACTAAACATTCACAGACGTAAATAGTATGACCTTCAAACTACGATCTACACTTAGCCCGGATAGTACACTAGCCCGGATCAATTGGACTCTCACAGCCATCCTATAGATACCTTGAGTTCTCCTTAATGCTATGAATACATACAATTAATATTATATAACCGTACCTGGGTACAATACAACACATGATTCAGTAACAATGAGTAGGTGAGTTATCCTTTATCAAGGTTGCCCGTTCTCTGAGATTCTACAAGCGCGCGGATTTGAATGTTATGTTGCGAAATATGAATTAAAGGTTTTTTTTTAGGAATGACAATGACGTGCACAGTACATTAGAAGAGAGGAACCCATGGGCTAGAGTTGAGGAGGTGGTGCTAATGCCTGGTGCTCCTACCATGATGAAAGTCAGGTTTGGAGACATCTCCATGGCACAAAAAGCCCTAGAGAATGGCCTCTGCATCTCCCACTACCACCTATCAAAACAACAAATTGAGCAGGAGGAATTTTACTCAATAACACCGTGTTGGAACTGCTACAAATACAATCATCTAGCAATAAACTGTCCCCAAAAAGATGAGAAGTTCTGCTCCGAATGCGCAGCAGAGGGCCACACATTCATAGAATGTAGCAACAAGGATAACCCCAAATGCCTGAATTGCGATGGGGACCACAGAACACTAGCAGCACGCTGTCCCATAAGGAAAGAAATAATTAGGAATCTGAGAGAAAAATATAAGGCAAATAAGAAGATAGAAACAGACCCTAACAAGACATATGCAGCAATTGCAAAGCTGCAAGATACCACCTCCAAAATCCTGAAGAAAACCAAAGAAAACCCCCCCTCATGCAACCTACATACCTTAATTTGAGCGAAGGATTACCATTCACAATTCTAACCAGTATTATTCATGCACACATCAACAACATCGCAAAGCCAGGATCCTTTGGAAAAACGATCAGGGAAATGTTTGCTGCAAACAATTTGCCGGAGGTGAAATTCCCAGACGACGCCCCTTCAACAGAAATATTTAAAATTGTCACCGAGAATAGCCTGTGAAAAACCAAACCACAGGAGCACACAACCAAACCAGTCATAGAAGAAAACTTGATGGAAATAGACTCAATCAGCCAACCAGTCACACCACACCACAAATCATCAGATTCCACAACTCAGCAAACGGAGAAAGCACAACCTGCAAAAGCTGACCCAACCAAAGTGAAAACGAGAAAAGAATCCCATTCTGGCCATCGTCCCCCCCCATCTTCACCAACCAATGTGCAGGCAGCAGACCTAGGAGATGAGATCGGTATCCGTTTCTACTCAGTCAACACACCACCTACAATATCAAATGATAGACTTCTGCAGGAAATCAAGGAAGGCACAGTCAAATTCACCTGCGAAGATGTCAGGGTAGAAGAATCCTACATAGACCAGTTGATAAATGCAGGACTAATAAACACCAAATACAACAAAATTGAAAGGGTAGACATAACTAAGTTTAAGAAAATCAGAACGGGATTAAAGGAAGAAAGGAATAGACACTCGCCGGAGCTACACGAGCCAGTAAACACCCTACACCAAGTTCTCGGGATCCACGACTATACAAAACAAATAATTAAAGATAATTCAACACAACGTCCTTGCCTGGACTCTGACGAGGAAAACAGAACTCATTAACATATACAGCACAATAGACCCAGACATCATCCTTATCATCGCACACGGGCGAAAAGACAACGAAAAAATAAAAATATTTAATTATCACATCTACCAAAGAAATATCTACGAAGAGTTACATGACGGGACAGCATTAGCAATTAAACCCAGAAATTCAAGACTTGGGTTGGGTCAAACGATGAGCAAAACAGGAGGATGTATGCAAGAGCCAGAAACCAAGCAAAGATAGAGTGTAGAAGAGCTGAAAAGGAGTTCCAGAGGCTGGTTGCAAGCGAGGTCAAGTCAAACCCAAAGGCGTTTTACCGCTATGCAAAGTCGAAATTGAAAACGCGAGTAGGAGTATCAGACCTGAGGCTGGTGGATGGTAGTTGCGCAGATTCTGACCAGGATAAAGCTGAGGTATTGAACAGCTTCTTTTCCTCGGTGTTCACAAGAGAGGATGCAACTAACCTTCCTGCGTTTGAGGACAGACGGTTCGACACAGCACTGACCCACATTGTGTTCACAGAAGAGGGTATTAGAAATAAACTGTCCAGGCTAAAGGTCCATAAGAGTCCCGGACCTGACATGGTGCATCCTAGAGTGCTAAGAGAGTTGTGCAACGAGCTTGCAGAGCCCCTGAAGATCCTGTTTTATAAATGCCTGGATGAACAAATGGTCCCCAGTGAATGGAAAGTGGCTTATGTGAGTCCTATCTTCAAGAAGGGCGATCGCCACTCGACGAATACCTATAGACCGGTGAGCCTGACCAGCATAATATGTAAGGTACTTGAGAGTATTATCAGAGATGCCGAAATGGAACATCTAATACGAAACAATCTTGTAAAAGATTGCCAACACGGTTTTATGCCGGGGCGCTCCTGCTTAACACAATTGCTCAAGGCTTTCGACAGTGTACCCCATGAAAGGATGAAAATCAAACTGGAAGGGTACGGAATTCGGGGAAATGTCCTAGCATGAATTGAAGACTTTCTACATGACCGCAAGCAGTGTGTGGTGATTAATGGCACGAAATCGTCATCCGTACCTGTAACAAGCGGGGTACCGCAGGGCAGTGTATTGGGCCCGCTGTTGTTTGTTTGTTTCATAAATGACATGCCTGACGTTGTACACTCCTCCATACAAATGTTTGCCGATGACGCCAAGTTATTTCGGGAAATTAAGAACCAAGCGGACTGTGAAGAGCTGCAGAAGGACCTCTGTGGGCTCCAGGAATGGTCGAAGAAATGGCTGCTGAGATTCAATGTCATGAAGTGTAAGAGGATGCACCTGGGGCTTACCAACGGTAAGGAGGCGTATCATATGTCCCAACGGGATGAAGAAACTGCACTAGTTGAGACTGTGTGTGAGAAGGACCTAGGTGTGTATGTTGACAATGAGCTGAATAGTAATATTAATAGTAATAGTAATAATAATAGTAATAATAATAATAATAATAATTATAATAATAATAATAATAATAATATTATTATTATTATTATTATTATTATTATTATTATTATTATTATTATTATTATTATTCCAAAACGAGGGAATCAACAAAGCTATTTTCACATATATTTCTTTTACCTCACTCCATCGTTCTTGTCCCAAACGTGTCCGCACTCCACACAGGCTCAAAGGCTCAAATTCCCTCAGTGCGTAATGCTGACCCTAAGTCAGTGTAGGCTAAAATATCGTCAAATAAATGACAGGAAGTCTTCAAGGATGCTAATTATTCCATTCACTGTAAAGTAGAATTGCGACTCTAAACTTGGTAATACATAGTAGGTAATTGAATCTGGCATTGCCGCAACTTAACTGTCAGTTTTTACTGTTAGCAAAATACCTGTTTTCTCTTTTTCTTTTATCCTCTTCGCCACTGATCGGTACATAACATGTCCAGGACTTGCCAACAGTGACGCTCAGAGACTTACCTAACAACTAATGCACCCAAATAACGTTACCAATTACTGTATACAGTTACTATACGAGTATAGTTTCTTTCAACTGACGTCACACACAGCTATCATTACTGCTAACATTAAACTGATATATATATATATATATATATATATATATATATATATATATATATATATATATATATATATATATATATATATATATATATATATATATATATACAGTACTATCCACTTAATTAATATTAATTTAATAATATAAAACAAAATATATACCTATACATAACATTTAGCTACCATAAAATAATAAATTACATCAGTTACATTTGGATAACGTTAGACTACATCTTCACCTAACGTTACTGTCTTAAACAGTTCACGAATACTCAGCTAATATTCACTCCCTTAGCATTGCAGCCCACCTACTTGTTGTATAGTTTCAGATTGAATTATTAATTAACATCTTACGGTTTCAAAGATAAAATCCATTGATAAAAATTACCGTTATGTTCTTATTCGCTCTTTGTCCTAGAAGAAAAAATACATCAGATGACAAGTATGGTAGTGCCTTTTGGAATGTACATAACCATTTTAATTTGTGGTTAATATATCAAAATATCATTAATATTAAGGAGAGTTATTTTATTTGTGATATATTTATTATTTTATTTAGCTTCATGGAATTATTATGACGTATATGACTTGTGTTGAAGGAATTATGAATGTTGTGTTGTCCGACAGTCAACGAAAATGGCGGAAGCAGGAGTGGAAACAGCCTCGTCTTCTGCCAGATTTTTCTGTCATAAATGCAATGTCGAAATTACTCCTCAACTACCCGTAAGTTTTATGGTTTTATGGGAGTTGTTTGAGATGGTAATGGTAGTTGGGTGAGGATTAACAGGTGTAAATGGCTGGGTAATGTAACATGGGAAAGTTGTGTCATTCTTTTATCCTTCAATACTCTTTCTAATTACCCTTTACCGTCAGACCAACTCTTATATCTTTAAACCTACATTTTTTCTCAGCTTCGATATTTGATATGAAGATTGATTGGTTAGATGTGTTCGAAATATTTTTTTCAGTTTTGCTATTGTGTGTGATACGTAAGTTGTTGGCCCTTCCACTGTTAATTAAGATTCTAGGTTAGGGTAGGTTGGGTTTTAATATGAAAATCGAATAAAACGCATCACAAGAGCCATATTGGTTGAAAATGCTAATTTACCCACAGGCTTAGATCAATTATGCAGGTTTTTATTAATTTTGGATGTGTGCTAATTTTCACCAGCGAGTTCTGATCTAATAATTTCTTTGGAAAATGATTTGGTAAATTTATAGAAAGGCACTGTTCTTTCTTTGTATATTAAAAATGTTTTTTCATATGGTTTTAGATGAGTTTCGAACGAATTAGATAGTCATTTTTGCTGGAAGTCACTCGTTTTTTAGACCCCCCCCCCCCCAACAATCTTAGGGAGGATGTTGGAAAATTGAAGTTTTTGTTGGGTAAATCACAGAAACAGGTGATTTTCAATGGAGAATAAGGCAAAAATCGTTCAAAACTCATCAAAAACCAGAGGAAAACATTTCTAACAGAGAAAGAAATGTAACCTAACTTAACCTAACCTTTTTTTGTGTAAAAAAAAATAGAAAACAACCAAACCAAACCTTACCTAAACCTAACCAGCTCCCCTGGGACCCCCGTTTGTTCATGCCCCCACATCTGGTTCATCTGAGTCGTCACTGTTTGAATCGATATGAACCTTGTTCGGTAATACACTGTATTTTCTAAAAAAATGAAATAGCCTCACTATTTTTCTGATGAAACTCGGCAATTGACGTAAAATAATCTCGATCACAATGTCGGCACAGCTCTTCAACCTGTTCAGCCATATGTGGTACTGAAAATTAAAATCTCCGCTCCCGATGTACCCACGCATTGTTCATTGCCCAAGACAAAAAATTTTTGCCTAATAATAAGGCTCCTCTCGCTATAGCCAATAAGGAACTCCCACATGCACTGTAGATGCTTAAAAAGCTGACACAGAGGTAACAGAGCACTGGGTGAGGGGGGGTCAGAGTTTCTCCGCGAGATGTAAATAACAAATGGCGAGACTTGTGACTGGCCAAATATAATAATACATCAGGAAATTAATATCTCGATTATCCTTAATTTCCGGCGGAAATATCATAGAAGAAAAATGTCTTAGAAATGTCTGATCATTGTGAAATACATAATAATAACATCGATAGAAAGACCGGTGCTTTACTATAAATTCAATGATTCTTTGGTAGATGATTATTTGGTGCCTATGTTTCTCTACTTTGTCTTCTTGGCGATAATGCGGCGGTGATGCTTCATTACTGGATGTAAACAGCCAATCATATTGACGCGATGCTCTCTGATCGACACCAGTATAGTTATGAGCTGCAGGGTCCGGGTGGCTGCTCTCACGTCCACAAAAAAACATAAAATTACACCATATCATAGGAAAATCTTTCTGTTGAATATGCTATGTTGGGGGAGGTCTGGTACGTGGAGCCCCATGGCTAGGAAGTTAGGTAAGGTTAGGTAGGTTTCTTTGGTTATGGGTAAATTTTACTTGTCACTATACAAAATCTAAGTTGAAACTGTGTTTTCCTGGTGGTTAGGTTTGATTAGATTCAAAACTGTTTTTCCAGTGATTTTTTATGTGTTATGAACTAATTTTACCTTCATTTCTGGTGCAAACTGGTGCAAATCAATAGTTTCTGAGAAGTCCCATATCTCAAAATCTTAGAGATGTGCTATAAAAATCGTTAGGTGTTTTTCGTGTGTACCCCCATGTATGAACATACATAATAAAATGTTAAATACCCCGCTTAAGCGTAGTTTGCACCGGAAATGCCATTGAAGAAAATATTCTCAGAATTGTCAAAATTACTGATTGCAACTATAAAATTCCAGAGATTCATTTAGTGGCAATAAGTGAAATAATACCTGGTTAGGTTTGTGAGATCTTCTAACACATTTGTCAAAACTACAACAGTATTCACTATAAAACAGTGAAATTGCAGCATTTTTAAAATTGTTTTCCGTGAAAAGTCGGCAGCAGGCCAGTTGTAAATAATTACCTTGTATGTGTATGTCAAGTGGCTGTGGACATTTTGCCATGATTTTCCTTTTCGGGATTGCTAATTGTACTGTGAAGACACATTACGTTATCATGAATCCTATTTGTTGTTTTTCCTTGCATGAGTTTCTTTGTCATTGTGTGTCTGTGCATAATATTTTGGAAGTGGCTGTTGAGAGGGGTCACCAGGTTAAATAGTCGGTAAAGGTGAAGGAATTGGTTATTACTCAAAGTAATTTATGGAATTGCACCACAATTCCTAGAGATGTTATCTGCTTGGTACCATTAAAAAATTAATGCGGCAGTGCACAAATCCTAATAGAACCTGACCTGACCTAACCTAACCTTATCTAACTTTTTTAGACCCCCTGCCATATATGGTTTGGTGGATCTTGATGGTTGTCCGTTAGGTTCCATATGGCATCACCAAGGCATTGAAGTGGAAGTTTAATCATCCCTGACTCTCTGGTTAGCTGCATTCATGTTTAAGAACTAAAGGTAGTTCATTACATATTTGTCCTACAGTAAACAGATGTTGGAACACAAGTTGTGAGTCAACTTTGGCTTCCTCACCAGGCTTCACTCTTATATTGTAATTTTATATTGCAACATTATGCCTCCTTCAAAATTTGAAGTCCAAGATAATTTCTCCAACCATTGATGCAAGAGTAGATAATTACACTGCTTTTTCCATCTGCATTCACGTCAGCAGCTGCAGTTACATCACTTAAAATGCTTATGAAGCATGGGTCATCAACAAAGGAATTCCTCTCTTGATGAAATTTTAACATCTTAAAAATGTCTTGCAGTCCCTACTCTGCCCTGCCTTTGTTACTTCTTTGTGTTGTTTACATGTGCTGTAGCACACACATGTAAACCCTTGAATTGCATCATCAACTTCAACTAGGGCAGGCATTGACAGAAGCTGGATGAGGCAGTGTTTCAGTTATTTCACAACAATGTGTCAAGCTACCATTAAGGCGGTGGCACACTGGGCACTTTCCTCCAAACACGTTGCCAATTTTACTGGCCGCTGGCCTGACGGCCCAGTAAGTAGCAGGATTTTGGCTGTTATGAGAAATGGCTAATGGTTTGGCGGCGAGCTTTGCTGGCCGAGTTAGTGTACAAAAATTGAAATAAATCGTTAAACAACAATAATTTTAAACAACACACAAACAGTGACAAGTTTCTATGTATTCATCACTTTAAAGCTTCTTTAGTATTATTGAATAATTATTCAAGGTCTTCTTTGACCAGCCAGCCCCTGCCCGCTACTTGTAAACAAACTTCATTGTCTTTTCTTTAGTATTTGCAGACGCCTCACTTCCTTCAGCAATTGCAGAACTATAGCATAATCCTGCAAAGCCTCAACTGTAGTACAGGATCCATGGTGAACCTTGTCGACATCCCTTTGTTGTTGTTTTCATTGTGTTGGGCAGACGCACAAACAAAATAACCCAGTGTGACGCAAACGTCTCTGCTTTGCTGGCCGGACTGTATTTGCCCAACATGTATGGAAGAAAGGTGCCTAGTGTGCTGCTGCCTTTAGTCTTAAAACCTTGCATCAAGGCCTGTTCAATAATCGAATCTGAACACAGTCATTCCCAGTAGCGGTCACTGCTGCAGATGATATGATACCTGTACTTAAGTATTTTTTTTATTGTTCATGCATGTTTTTGAGATACTGTGCACATATAGACAGGGATGATGCTTCTTATAATTTGATAATTGTGAACTTGGTGATTTAAATTCCCAAATAAAAAATCACCAGTCATGATCCTCTTACCATTAGCATTTATGTCTATATAATTGTGGTTCAAGAGAATGATGAATTATTTTAAGTCTAGATGTATGGTATGTATAGATGATGCCAATTATAGAGAAAATATACAGGGTACAGTACTTGTTTTATGTCATCAGAAAAAGAAATTAGTCTAACTTTTTTCCAATAATGTTTCACAGTACAGTAGAACCTTGATAAATCGGACTATTTGGGGCAGACCCCGGTCCGAAAAAAAGGTAATACAGGGGATAACACTGTTTATCAGAACCGTATAAAGAAAATCAGTTAGGTTATTACAGTGATCCCTCGGTTAACAAGATTTCGGTTAATGATTTACCTTCCATAAGATTCTTAACTTCTGTTAACGAGCAATCCCTCGATTAACGAGGTTCTTACTAGCGGACCTCAACATGTTTTCGCTTGCATTTGGCGGTCCACCAGCTGTAGTATTAGTCCGCCAATACAGTAATCGGTTCTAGGGCTTAAATTCCTTACTATTTTAGTAAATATCAAGAAGATTATACTATTCAATAATTTTAAAAGTTTAATATTAAATTTTTTAGTCATTTTAACAATTATTCAACATAATTGAAGGTAAGGAAACTAGTTTTATGCGCGCCGAACAGCCTGTCAACACACCAAACAGGCGTCAGTCTCTGTGACTTTTCAGTGGAGATAACATCTTGCTTGAGACTCTGTTCAACTAAACGCTTTTTTGTGTTTCCAAGCAAGTTATTGGTCATTTTAAAATTTATATTACATATTGACAATATATAATGCAGTGCAGTGTTGATTTAAAGAAAATAATCTTGAATTACACCAAGCGAACTAAAATTTTATGGGTGAAATGGCACCATGGGGTGACTTCTCTTCCACCCCAATGCCTTCTCGTCTCCCTTCTCCTCCACCCCCATTCTAATTCCCATCATCATCATCATCCAGGAGTTTTCTACATACACACCTCAAAGTAAGTGTACTTTACTACCTTTTTTGTTGACTTTAGGCAATTTTCGGTGAGCTGGAACCAATTACCCAAAAACCCATTGAAACAATGGTTTCGGTTAACGAATTTTTCGGTTAACGTGCAACCTTCTAGAACGAATTGTGCTCGTTAACCGAGGGACCACTGTACTGCATTTCAACAACTAAGGTCTTTAAGTATATAACAAGGTTTTTAAAATAATATTACATCGACAATAAAAAAAAATTGAAACCGAACTCTCTGGGTTGAAAATCGGACATGTAAGTCTGGTTGTCAACAACTGTTGTCACCAAGATGATTGTTATTTACTGTCAAGCAGTGGCGGACTGGCCCACCGGGATACCGGGAAATTTCCCGGTGGGCCCCAAAGTGATGGTTCCTTTGACTACGTTTTAGGATTGTGGACCCTTTTGAGTGGGCCCTTTTACAAGTTTTCCCGGTAGAAATTTTTGACCCAGTCCGCCACTGCTGTCAAGTGTTACAGTGTATGTAAGTAACTACAAAATTTGTCATATGAATAAATAGAAAACTGTATACTGTACAGTATGTGGAAGACGAGTGTTTATCTGGGAACAGCTGGTAGAAGGGGGTAAGCATGGGTGGGTGGCTCCCCCCCACTCTCCTCCAAGGTTCCTTTAACACTTTTTTATACAATTTCACCACAATTCTCATATAATTTAGTATTATTTGGTGCCAGGTTGATAAAATATAATTCTAAAAGAATCAGCTTTCCTGAAAAAAAATCCCTCACTGAACACCATGAGTCATTGTTTACAAAGAGCAAACAGCTGATTGGCTAATCACAATATCTGTTTTCAACATGTAATAAATTAGTACAGCACAGTTGTGTATTTATCATCACTTAATAAGTAATATTGTAGTGTACTGTATTATGCATCTACATATACAGGTACCCTGGTTTATTCATTAATCATTTGTATACGTGTACAGGTAGCCAAATTGAGCCATCATATAACACTCAAAAAGTTAGTAATTAATGTTTTTAGGAAGGTATCATCATATCAAATACTATACAGTGTGTTATAGTGACTCCTGTTGTAAACTGGTTGCTGAAAGCTCTCGCAGGAATGCATCTGAGTAAATAACCTTCTGATACAGCTTATCCTTTTATTTTCAAGTCATATTACAAATTACATACAGTATTGTATTTTTTCTCTATTACTGAAGATGTTATATTAATCATGATGAACCATAACCCATAAGAGGCCAATCATCTGAGAAATAATACTGAATCAATAAATAAATAATCCTGACGAATGTGGCAACACCGGATCAGCTCCAGCCTGCTTACATACTCAAGTGTCTTAGTTCTCAGTAGGCCTATAGCAAATCTGATAAGACCACTGTACATAATTCAGTAAGTGTTGTTCATTTCATGAGATTTTTTATTAATCTACTCCCCCCTTTTTTTTTAGTACTCTTTATTTCCGGTGATCAGAGCGTCTCAGAGTTCGAAAAAAGCAAATTCCAATATATTGAAGTCTGATTTATCGAGGTTTTACTAGTATGGTTTGAACACTTACAAAGAGTTGCACTCTTATCAATTTTAGTGGAAAAAAAAATGCTGACTAAAGTGACCTGGGACAAAGCACAATACAATACAGTACCTGTACTGCACAGTATATGAATACAATATTGTTTAAAGTGACAAAGTTTCATCAATTGTATTTTAGTGGATTTTTATCCTCAGGTTATGGGGTTATATTGGTGAATAAAAACACCAGAATAATTACTTTAGTAATTTCTTAAGAGGTCACTTGATCATAGATTTACTGGACTATTGGGGGCGGATCTCATTCTGATATTACCCTGCTCTTAATGCTAATCATGACAAACATCACGATGAATAATTATAAAAATGCTACACTAAAACCACCCATGCACCCCAACACCGAGATCCTCTGCCTTGGGGGTTTCAATGTACAGTAGCTAACAAAAGTATCTGACTGGGTTGGTTCGATGACTTCCGAAATTGTACTTACAACTTGTGATGTCTTGGTAGGTTTGGTATGCGTGTCTTCACCCACCGCCATTTAGTATCCAACACAGGGTGAGTTGGCATATAGGAACAAAATGAACAGTTAAGTGATTACTTTCACATAGTATAAGGAGACAACATGCCTATCCCAATACCTGTCGTCTGTGGTATCGTATTGTTTCACACAACGTATGCACAGATACTTTTTTTAGCTACTGTACATCACAGACAGTGGCTTGGCTCTGCAAGGGATGACCCAGGTGGAGCTGAGGCACTCTTTTTCCTTAATGATCTGGAACAAATAATTAAACACCCTACACTTGTTCCTGATCGACACGATCAACTTTATAACATTCTTGATCTTTGTTTTACCTCTAACCCCTCTCACTATTCATACTCAGTTTCTGCCCCCCAGGGTCTGCTGATCACAATCTTATTTCTATTAAATCAGAGTGGGCACGACCACCTCCCCCACCCCCATCTAAATGCCAACTATGGCACTCTCAGAAGGCAAACTGACAATCTTTGCGAGAATTCTTCTCCGACTTTCCTTGGGATGAATATTGCTTTTCCACTCAGGATGCCTCGGTATGTGCTGACAGCATTGCTGGGGTTATACAGGGTGGTATGAGTGCATTTATCCCATCTTCTACCAAAACTTTTACTTTACAATAATGGTTTGTTCGCTACAGTCCTCTTGCACGTAGAGAAAGAGGGCATATGAAGTTGTGAAACTATCTCTTTCCCCTGTTACCCACTCCTCTTTCATTACTTGTATTAATCGTTGTAAGGCTATTCTTAGTAGGGCCAAGTGGAATTTTATAAAAAGAATGACTGCTGTCCTGATTAACTCTTCTTCTAGTAAATCCTTCAATAGTAATAAAATTCAGTATTTACCAATTACACTTTCTAAATTAGATGATCTCCCACCAAACATTTCAGGATGCAATCATTCTGCCAAATTCTGAAATAGATATGCTAGGCCTCACCATTTCCTCAAATATGTCATGAAAGCCACACATTCACAACATTGCTGAAGCTGCCTCCCAAAAGCTGGGAATGCTGTACAGATGCTATAGCTACTTCACTCCTGAACAGTTGCTTAGTATAGTATACTGTATAAGGGACTCATTCTTCCTTACTTGGAGTACTGCTCTTCTTCTGTCCAACTGTAAATAGGGTGGAATCAAAGGCATTTCATCTTATTAACTCTCCTCCTTTAGTTGATAATTTTTCTTCCCTTTCTCTTTGGTGCAATGTTGCTTCACACACTCTTTTAAAGGTACTTTAACGGGCAATGTTCGATGGATTTGGCATTCTGTGTATTGCCGGCAAGGCCTTGGGCTCATAACACTCATCTTGTCCGCAGTACTCACCGTTTCTCTGTGGATGTCGGTCACAGTAGAATAACCCTTTATAGTACATCCTTCTTTCCTCACACAGCTGAACTGTGGAATGCTTTGCCTTCTTCTGTGTTTCCATACTCATACAATCTGTCTCACTTCAAAAAGATGGTTTTCCAGCATCTTCGTGGTATAGATTAATATTATCTTTTTCTTTTCTATTTTTAATTTCTTTTTACTCTTATTTTTTCGCCCCTTCGGCTCTGTTGTGGGTCAATGACCTCAGCACGGTTGGCTATTTCCCGTAAAAAAATAAAAATAAATTACAAATGTGTGCTAACAAAAAGAAGTAACCCGACACAGTTGGGTTAAGAGCTGGTAGTGTGAACCATGGAAGAGAAGGTCAGGTTGTGGAGACACTGAGCTGCTATAAGCTTGATATCTGTTGCATGCAAGAAATGAGCTGGAAAGGGTAGCTCAGGAAGGATTTCTGAAAGAGTAGTGAATCTGGAATGGGGTGTAGTAATCTTAATCGCCAAAGAGTGGAGAAAGTGCTATTGGTGAAGCGAGTGGATGCAAGAATTGTGGCTTTGAAGCTACAAGTAGGAAAAGATCTGATGACTCATTTCAGCATTTGACTGACAAGTTGGGCTAAGTATGGATTTGCAATGTGACACTGAAAGACAGGAAGCCCTGTTCAGAGCAAAGAGGGCAGCTGGAAATTGACTGTCCTGTACTGTAGAGTATTATCTCATATCCTCTTAGGGTAGAGGTTGAGGAGGCTTTTTACTTTCTGTGAAAATTTCTTATCTTAAGTTATCAGAATAATAATTATCTGTTGATTAGCATACAGTATTGTGAATATGCCTGGGTTAGGGAGTTAAGGAAGGTTTTTGCTCCTGGGGTATTTTTTCAGAATTGTTTGTTACACTTAAGACAGTCCATCTGTTCCCTTTAATAGAAATTTTATGGTCTTGAATCTTATTTTAATTTGTTCTCAGGACTATGTATGTCCACGATGTAATAGTGGCTTTATTGAAGAATTGGAGCGAGCACGAGACTCGGACAGTGATAGCTCCAGTGACACAGAGATGGAGTCTTATGAAATGTGGGATATGATAACTCATGATGGCTCAGTGCCAGGTGTGTCATCTCCAGCAGCCTCCTCCTCTGGTCCTGGTCCTCGCAGAAGTCAGCGTCTCAGACACATTAACCCAAGACATGGGCGGCGGAGGTGAGTCCTTGGTACAGTACAGCATGCCCTGACAATTCGTGGATGACACCCTGGATGTACCCAAGAATGTCTAGGGGTTTTAAAGCTTCTGGCATTTCCGTGGCCAGGACAGTGAGCCATTCGTTCTCGAGACAGTAATTTCCTTTACCTGTACTGTATATGTGTGTGTAGACACACATACAAAACACACACAAAAAAATAATAATGGGAAAAACCTCTCAAAAATAACCAGAAAAAAAATGAGTCTACCCTCAAGTTAACTCCATGGTTTGTTATTAAAGTTAACTTTAATAATGAAGTGTGGAGTTGACTAGAGGGTAGACTCACATTTTAACTAAATTTTGTTTTGTTTCTGAAAACTGTATTTGTTAGAGGATATTCCCATTATATTTATTTGTATGTGTCTTGTGTGTGTCTACACACACACACATACATACATACAATACAGGTAAAAGAAAAATTGTCCCAAAGGCAAACACATTAAGGGAATATATTTTTATATTATGGAGCATTGTTGATTTATTTTAAAATGGTAAGTGAAAATATTTGTTTCTTGGAATTAACATAACTGTGCATATTGGTATTCACAGGAATATTTGTTCTTTTTTGGCTTATTGATGATTGTTTCCAGTACAGTAAAATAAGAGTAAATATTTTGTCTGTCTTCAGTCTGATGCTGTTAATTGGGCTTTCATTAGTTTCATTTCAGTGTGACATAACTGATATTCTTCATTGTCAAGTTCATCCAAAACTTTAACATTCTCTTAAATAAAATTTCTTTCTCTTCTATTTTCACTTGAACTAGAAGAATAAGCAGCTGTTAAGTATTAAGACATCTTGTTAAGTGGCACAGGGAGTAAACGTTTGGTGAATAGTTGGGTATAGGAGATGATGTCTTTGATTTTGAGTGAGCACTGGCTTAGTAATTTCCTGACTACACTTTGGAAAGTGTACAGTAATTTTATCTTCGAGGTGGTTGGTTTAAAACGCTTCCAGCCAGGCTTTTCTCACAAAATTAGAATTATTTTGCAGTAGTGTATAGTATACTGTATATAGGAAAATAGTATTAAATTAGCAGTGAAATAAGAAAAATCACACTGAAAAGTCATGAATTAACCTGAGGCTGCAGTACAGTACAGTACAGTATTTGAATATAAATGTGTGTGTAGGTGGTAGGTTTTGTGTGGATTGGTGTATGCCAAATTTAGAATGGCAGCCACATAGTACATACTCTAACTTGCTCCAGTGCAAATGTAATTTGGCTCACTTTCGTGATAGACAGATTAATTTCATCATGATTTTTCTCATGCAGTATACTGTAGGTAGATCCTCTTTGTGATGAGTCACAATACTTCTACTGAGAGGCAGTAATTGATGCAGAACAAGATTTCGCATGTTCAAGCATGTAAGACTATATTTATCTCACTTATAATGAATTTCTGATAGAAAAGTGATCTTTGTATATGACAATTTGTGTAAGATGAACTTGTAATAATGATAAAGTAACAAACCCCATCTGACATCACAGAGGAAGGCAATGTGCCTTTAGACATACTTAGTTAAAGTCTTTGAGTCTTTTTGTTTTAATTATTTATGAGATAGAATAATTACATGGCACAGCTTATGGTGTGGCAATTGGCCGGCCACTCGCGAGTCACATCAAAGCTTCAGTCAGCTGGGAGAACCTCCACCACTATTCAGGATGCTCACCATTTAGTGATTTTTTTGGTTTGTTATGTTATTTTTTGGTTTTGATGTGCTTGGAGTTAAAGTGAGTTGATAATAGGTTTCTAGTCAACATGGAAATAAGATGAAAGTGAACATGCAGTAGTTAGGGTACAGGATATTAATAGAAAATCCAAATTGTGCTTTAACAGATGTTGAGGGATGGATGACTTTTGGTCTGTCATCAAGTAGAGTAGCTTTTACCACCTGCCTTTGCCTTTTCATTTCAGAGTAAGTGGAGGGGATCGTCACTCTGCATTGGCACCCCTCATCCACGACCTCATAATGCAAATGACTTCTGGTGTGATTGAAGCCAGTGTAGGAGGGGGTGATTTTGCAGTACCCCCTGTAGGTTTTGATTTACCAGGATTTCCAGTTTTAGTAGCTTCTAACCTGGCTTCTAATCCCGGAGACTATGCCTGGGGTCGTGGTGGGTTAGATGCCATCATAACCCAACTCATGAACCAACTGGATGGTACAGGTCCACCGCCTTTATCCAGAGATCAAATTTCACAGATACCTACATCCAACATCACCAAAGATCAATGTGGTAAGATAGTTTTATATATTCCCCAAATAGGGGGGATTTTGTTGCTTTCATTATTGCCGTATGTTTCTGAGCAAGGTACAGTGGGGTATGCTATAACGAACGGATCCTACTACGAATATTCCTATAACGAACGGTTTTACCTATAAAATTGAGAATGCTATAACGAACTCAACTCCTACAACGAACGTGGATGAATACGGGACTATTTCGCCTGGCGCATGAATATTGTTGTACCGCGACCCACAACAAGAGCGTCGGGCGCCATCTTTGTCTCATTGTGTAGCCAGTGCACCACTGTTATTGTTGAAATTTCATCTTTTGATTTGGAAATAGAGTTATTTGTATAAATATTTTGTTATACAAGTGTACAATTGTGACAATGAATCGTCCAAAGTGAGTGAGAAAGCTCATAACTCTTGAAACTAAGAAAGAAATCATAAAGAAACGTGAGGATGGAACAAGCATTGCGAAACTTAGTGATGGGTATGGGATGGCTAAATCGACTATATGTACCATTTTAAAGAATAAAGAGGAGTTGAAAACTGTGCAAGTGGCTAAGGGAATCTCTAGACTTAGCAAAGCAAGGTGTAATGTGATTGAGGAGACGGAAAATTTACTCTTAGTGTGGATAAAGGAGAAAGAAATGGCAGGTGATAGCATTAGTGAAGCTATAATTTGTGAGAAGGCCAGACAATTGTTTGAGGACCTTAAAGCCAAGACTCCCAATGCAAGTGATAGTGATGTGCCAGTGTTTAGGGGTACCAAGGGGTGGTTTACTGGTTTCAGAAGGAGAAATAAATTACATAGTGTTGTGAGACATGGTGATGCTGCTAGTGCAGATAAGGAAGCAGCTAAGGAACACCATGATATTTTTTTGAATGTTATTAAAGAGGGAGGCTTTGTTTCTCAGCAGGTATTCAACTGTGATGAAACTGGACTTTTTTTGGAAAAAAATGCCTCGCCGTACATACATTACCAAGGAGGAAACTTCTGGCCATAAGCCAATGAAAGACAGGCTTACCCTCCTTCTTTGTGCTAATGCTTCTGGTGACTGCAAAATAAAGCCACTCCTTGTGTACCATGCAGAAAACCCCAGAGCTTTCAAAAACATTAGGAAGACCCGCCTTGTGTTATGTGGCGGTCAAACCCAAAGGCTTGGGTGACCAGGAAGTTATTCTCTGAGTGGGTGATTGAGGTGTTTGGACCTAGTGTTTGGGAATACCTCAGGGAGAATAATCTTCCACTGAAAGCTGTGTTGGTGATGGACAATGCACCAGCCCGCCCTCCTAATTTGATGGTTGAATTGCCAGAGGAGTTCAACTTCATCACTGTGCACTTCTTGCCACCCAACACAACACCTCTCATCCAGCCCATGGATAAACAGGTAATTTCTAACTTTAAGAAGCTGTACACAAAGGCACTGTTTAGAAAATGTTTTGCATCCACTTATTCCAGTGATGTTAGCTTGAAGGAATTTTGGAAGAGTCACTTCAATATAGCAGACGCTGTTTTTTTTAATTACCTCAGCCTGGAAAGAGGTTACTGTGAAGTGTCTTTGTGCTGCTTGGAGGCCATTGTGGCCTGAATGTGTCCTTGAAAGAGACTTTGAAGGCTTCTAAGAGTTAGAAGAAGAGGCTGTTGTTCATGAAATTTTGTCTCTGGGCAATTCCATGGGCCTGGAAGTGGATGATGATGATGTTGAGGAGTTGGTGGAAGAGCACAGTAAGGAACTGTCCACTGAGGAGCTGCTTGAGCTTCACAAAGAACAAAACGAGACACTGAAGCAGAGCTTAACTTCTGAGGAGTCGGGAGGATGAGGACAAGGAGGAAAGCCGCATCATTCCAGCCAAAGATCTCAAGGATGCGTTCTTTTGCTGGAGCAAACTGTCCAAACTTGCTGAAGATTATCATCCTGATGTTGGTTCTGTGCAAAAGGCCATCAGTGTGTTCAATGACAATGTTATAAACTACTTTTGGAAGGTCCAGAAATCAAGGTTGAAGCAGCCAACCCTGGATTCCTTCTTTACAAAGGTAACAAAAGACCCTACAGACAAAGTGCCTGTGAGACAGTTACCAAAGAGGGCTAGGAAGGATGACTCCTCTCCTTCCACCTCTTCTCCACAATTCTCTCCTCCCGTGTGCCTCCTGTCCTGCATGTTGAACAACACTAAGGTGAGATAAAGTACCCAATTTTTAACATTTTCCACAGAAGTTTTTACAGTGTTAGGTTGTTGTATTTGGGGGCCTGGAACGGATTAATCCTATAACGAACGAGGTTCTAGAACCAATTAGATTCGTTATAGCCTACCCCACTGTATTTGAAGACCTTGTTGTTTCTCCCATATTTATTTATTTATATTTTTTTATTTATTTTTATCTCAAATAGCTATTCCTGTAAACCCATTGATGGTTCATCCCTCTCTTCATTAGACTACACAGGTGATGGTTTGTGAGTTTATCCTCTACTATTTATTTTCAAAAGTAATTAAAATTCTCCTACAACTCGCATTTCTAGAATTGTAGGAGTTTGTTCTAGTAATATACCTGTATGTTCTGTATATGAATATTGTAAAGTCAGCATAAAATTATTCTGCACCCCTGGGTGCAATGGCTCTCACAATGAACACTGCAAGACTGACACCATGTATTGGTAAGGTTGGTACCTCTGACTGTGTGATTCTATGTAAAACTAATGTGCTTTTACTCCTTTTATAATGTGTAGTAACCACAGAGAAATTATCAGGAATACATATAAAACCCATAGCACTAAAACCAGATAATGTCATAGCATTATATACTATACCGTAAAACTGTACTACTTTTAATTACCCTCATACGGTAGGAATGGCAGGCACTCTAGAAATTGAGGTGCTGTATAGGAATTTCACATATTGTACTATGAGATACAACGAAATCGTGTAAATACTCATGATTATAACCACTATGAGGAAGTGATGAGAAGTGACATAATACAAGACCTCAACCAGAAAAAATCCAAAACATTTTTAACGTAGGAAAGTTATACAATATTACGCTTAAGTAACTGAGCTACCGGAAAGATATGAGTTAAGAAACGAACTATATCTCTTTAATTTGTCACAATATATGATAAGAATAGGGGGTTGACTGGGGGTTACTGGTAGTAAAATTCACAAAGTAAAAACATTGTCAGTGTTAATTAACACAGTTCAGCAAAGAATTTTGCCAGAGGAAGTGTGCTCGTTTAAAAGAATTTAATGAATCTGTTAGAAACGGAGCAGTTTCGATCTGCAAAGGGCAGACCATCAGAGCAAGCAGCAAGAGTTGTAATAGGCTATACGCCAGTCATAGCTATGCTAGTCATTATGAAGACCTCGGAGAGAACACACGCAACAATCATAGCACTTCATGGAGAGCGCCTGAACAATAGTGCGATTGCTCGGCGGCTCGGTGTTTCCAAGCACACCATGGCCTTGTGGATAAAGCGCCACGATGATACAGGACAGACCCTGCATCAGCTTGGAGCCAAACAGCCTCGCTGCACAATGCCTACGCTGGATAGAGCAATAGCAGCTATCATCCAAAACAGACCCTTTACCACTGCCCCCAGCATCCGACAAGAACTGGGACTGGCCTACACATCACAGACAATCAGAAACAGACACTACAGCAATGACCTCCATGCCCATATGCCCTCAAAGAAGCCACACCTGACTGAGGTAGACATGGAAAGGCTCCTGGATTATGCATTAGTGTATGCAGAAAAGCCAGCTTGTTTCTGGGAAGACGTGTATTGCGACGAGAAGACGTTCAGCACAGATGAGATGAATAGTTGTACTACCAGAGTTTGGCGCAGAGGCAACGAATGGTAGCAATCTCTCTCTCCCCCTCTTTCTCTCACTCTTTCTCACTGTATTAGAAATATCTATCGCTTAGTTATAGGTTCAGGTAGTTAATTGGAGATATGAAGGAGATACTGAATGGAACCTTTGTTACACATGTCATGCATCTGTAGTCGCCAGTACAGACAACTTCAGCTTAGCAGTGCCGGAGGCATTGGTGGTGAACAGTACGGTGATGCGCTCCTGCATTTTGCGTCCCCGACACTTGCTAGCAGACTTGACTACGAAGGTCTTGGATGGCAATTTCTTCCAGTACAACCCCGATTCATCCATATTGAACACTTGGTCGTCGGTGTACTGTCCTTCCTCCATAATTTTCTGTAAAAATGGGGGAAAATTCTTGGCGGCAGCCCAGTTGGCACTTGCTCCTTCTCCGACTATCTCAATATTTGTGATCTTGTTGCGTCGTTTAAAACCTTGCAGTCAACCAGCGGAAGCACTGAAGGGCTTGGGCTCTGCAACCCCCATTTTTCTTGCCACTGCTGCATAGAATTCTCGGGCGTATCCTACAGTGCCCGAGTGTTGACTGCCATGTTCCTTCTTGACTGACTAATAATGTAGCTTACCAACAAACTCTCGGTCTTCAGCAGCAACTTATTGTGGCAATGTTTCACCAGCGAGGCACCTACAGACTTGGTAATGTTCATGTGTTCATTTATTTTGCCGGCATCCTTCTTGATAGTGCGGATCGTCGATTCATTCACTCCATATTGTCTGGCCAGATCTACCTGTCTCATGCCTTTTTCTAACTCCTGGACGATCTTGTACTTTACTTCATAGCTTAAGGTGCATCGCACCTTCTTGGGCTTGGGCCAGGTAGTTCAGGGCTTCTTGGGGGTGGAGGGGGTCCAGCGGAAGCCATTGTGTAGAAAGAAAAAACAAAACCGGTTCCTGGACACGAGTGAATATACGCAGGGACAGTCAGACTGGCGTGGCGGTGGTCTAGAGTGTGGGTGGCAGGGATGGCAAGGTTAAATAGACCAATCACAGTCCGCGACATCATCGGCGCGAGTCTGACGTCAGCGGCCAGCACCTTGCCCCACCGCCTGCCTTGTATATGATGGCATTCATTTACCGCGTAAATAATATTTCTCGCTTCTGGACAGGTGCCGCATATAA